CAAACATTGTCTTTGTCCTCACAGACCTTTAAATATTTAAAAAAAAAAAAAAAGGTCCTTGTCAAAGACAAAATTTATTTTACTAGTTTTTTTTTTTAATTTTTAATGCTGGAGAACAAATTTGTAATCTTTGTCTTATTTGATTTTTGAGAGCTAAAATGATGTTTGGAATGTAATTGAAACTAGCAAGCTAAACTAAGGAATTCAGTGAATGCACTTATTGGAAAGGTCATCTTTAGTGTAGTTACTCATAGTGCTCACATCTGGAGATTAGCACCATCTACTGGCAACGGGGAACAATATATACATTTTCTTAGGATTTTCTTTTTGAAAACTATTTTTTGGGGAAATAAGAATCTTGCAGCTTTTTTTTTGTGCCCTGGTTTGTTTCATTTATTTTCCAAGTATAATTATTATGTATTACATATTTTCATAGCTGAGGCTACATTTTTTTATAGATTTATTTATTTACTTATACAAGCACTGGGTACAGTCAGAAGCGCGGGAGGGTGAGAGAATTCACCAGAGCCAGAGTGGGGAACAGAACAGGCAGACTGACGAAATGCGCTGCTGAGGGGAGCAGTGGGCGAGGCAGGAGAGGTCTGTTGCGCCATGTGGGACCCTTGGTGGCGGCGAGGGTTCAAACAGGTGCTGCAGAGGCTGCCGGCAGCTTTGCAGCCCAGCACTCAACCACTGCACCACCAGGGGAGGCCCTGAGGCTACATTTTTATAAGTAAAAAAGATATAACTTCATAGGTGTATCATTTTACACTTGTCTTTTTCAAAGCATATATAAAGTTATTAATTTGTTAGATATAAGAGCAGTGATAAAGATGTCATACTGCACTAGAATTAAGTATAATTTATCAGTCTATTTGGGCTTAGTTAGGTAATATTGTCCTTGGTAGTGAGAGAAATGGAATTAATAGAGTGAAAACAGCTCTCAGTGACTAAATGTGGGAAGTATTTCTATACTCAGCTCTTGGTATTAAGCTAAGTCCTACTTTTATCTTTCATTTTAAAAAATATTTTCTTACTGAAGTAAAATGTCACTGTAATATTATGTTTCAGGTGTGCATCTTTGTAACTTAACATCTGTATATGCTTTTAAGTTCACCACTTAAAGTTTTACCTTTCACCATACAATTGTCCCTTTGACCTGATTTACTCACCCTGGTTTAGCTTTCAGTTATTAGTGACCTAACATCTTCTTTGTATGCTGTTTTAGCTAACTCTTATTATTAATACTATTTGTTATCATTTTTCCCTTTTCTACTAACCTAATGTGTGTGACTTAAAAATTGCATGACAGGGCCTCTCCTGGTGGTGCAGGCGGTTGAGCGCCGTGCTGTGAAGCTGTCGGCAGCCTCCGCAACACCGGTTCGATCCCGGTGGGCCGGTGAGAATCCTACATGGCAAAGCAGACCTCTCCTGTCGTGCCCGCTGCTCCCCTCGGCCGTATTTCGTCAGTCTGCCTATTCTATTCACCACTCTGTCTCTGGTGAATCCTCTCACCCTCCTGCGCATCTGGCCTATACCCCAGATCTTGTATAAATAAATCTTAAAAAAAAAAAAAATTGCATGACAGATAACTTCTCATTCCATTTTTTTGGTCCAATAAGTTTTATTTCTTTTTTTAAATATGCTTTCTATAGGCATTTTACAGGTAAAGCTTCCTTAATGTGACAATTTTAGTTAAGTGTGAATTGTAGTTTTTATAGAGGTAAGACATGATGATTGCTTAACGAGTATTGGTTGAGTAATTAATTCAAGGAATTTTTCAAAGCTAACTTACAGAGTAGGAATGGTTATTTCAGTAGCCCTCAGTCTGTCTAATATGTTTTAAGTCATAGTAAGTCTACTGAGTATAGTAAACAATTGTTCTTTTGCCCTGTGGCTATATAACATTCAAAATGAGAATCGTTTTCTGCTTAATAAGTTAACTTGTTGTAGTACTCTTTTAGAAATATCTGATTAAATAGAATACTTATTTATAAAAAAAGTAATAATTACAAATTTTAGATATACCAGTGTCTCATAGTTGAATATAAAGGTCTAAAATTGCACTTGTATTGGTATACTTTTTTTCACTCATGTTAAACATAGTCTTGGTATAGATAATGAAAATTATGTCAATTGTGTTCTTTTTGTTTTGTTATTTGAGCAATTTACTTTTATTTATTTATTTTTAGATAGTCATTTATTTATTTATACCACCTCGCAACCCAGTGCTCAACCGCTGCGCCACTGGGGAGGCCTGCAATTTACTTTTAAACCTAATTCCTTTTAAAGTAAAATAAAATCCTCCTTCCTGTATCTAATCTATAATGGTTATCAAAATATTTTAATTTTATTTAAAATACATTTTAAATTTGTTTATTTAAGCTTAACTATTTCACCCCATTTCTTAGCCAACTTCCTGGAAATTGTTTTATATTTAAAAAGGGAGGTATATAGAGGTTTTCAAACTTAATTATGTGATGCGTCTGTAAAGATGTCTTTGAGGTGCATGTCATGTAGTATTTCGCCTATATTTCCTTCTATATATTTTATGGTTTCAGGTCTTATGTCTAGTTATTTAATCCATTTTGAGTTTGCTTTTGTGCATGGTGTGAGGTAGTAGTCAAGCTTCATTCTTTTGCATGTAGCGACCCACTTTTCCCAGCACCATTTATTAAACAAACTTTCAATATTTTTTCTATTTCTTTGAAGAATAGCATTGAAATTTTAATTGGAATAGCATTGAATCTGTATATTGCTTTTGGTAGGATGGCCATTTTGATAATGTTAATTCTTCCAATCCATGAGCAGGGGATATCTTTCCATTTTTTTTCTGTCTACTTCTATTTCTTTTAACAGTGTTTTATAGTTTTCTTTGTATAGGTCCTTAGTGAAGGCAAAGATAAACAGCTGGGAATTAAATTAAAGAGCTTCTGTACAGCAAAAGAGACAATAACCAAAATGAGGAGAAACCCCACTGGGAGAAAATTTTTGCATACAACACTAATGATAAAGGACTGATCACAGGAACCCTCCTGCACTGCTGGTGGGAGTGCAAACTGGTCCAACCACTATGGAAAGCTGTGTGGAGATTCCTCAACCTACTAAAGATAGAGCTTCCATATGATCCAGCAATTCCACTCCTAGGTATTTACCCAAATGACACAGAAACATTAATTGCAAAGAGCACCTGCGCCCCTATATTTATAGCAGCACTATTTACAATAGCTAAGCTTTGGAAACAACCCAAATGCCCAAATAGATGACTGGATCAAGAAGATGTGGTACATATACACAATGAAATATTACTCAGCAATCAAAAAAGATAAACACATGCAGTTTGCAGCAACATGGATGGAACTGGAAGGGATCATGTTCAGCAAAATAAGCCAGAAAGAAAAAGAAAAATAGTGGATGGTCTCATTCATAGCAGGAATCTAGAAAACCTAAATAAGGGACCAGGAAAAAGTATAACTATAAGAAAGAAAAAATCAAAATCAACAAACAACTGTGAACCAGAGACACACTATGGTGGGGGGGGCACGGGGAAAGGAGAGATTGGGGTCAAAATAAGGGGGTTGCACTTGTATGGGGAATATAAAAATAAAATAAAAAAAACTTAATTATATGAACATGTGAAAATTTTAAATCATGTCATTTTCAAAAAGCTTTTTTCTTCTCTCAGATAACTTTTTCTTTTCAAATTCTTTACTTATCAAGTGATTCTTTGTGTATCTTATATTTTGCTCCCAGAAATAAATGATTAATTTCAGGACTACTTCTCATAATGCCAAGTTTTAGGTGGTGGGGTAGTAATACAAGGAATTCTTGTCATCTAAGTACTATTGACTTTAGTTAGGAGCATTAAAGTTTCTGTATATAGTGAAGAAAATTATATAAAAAGCTATGTTGAGGTCTAGGAACCAATTGTTTTAATTATACAGGTCATCATCAGAACTTAGGCTAAACTAAGAATATTAAATAAAACAAAACATGCAAAATCAAAGTATATAGTAGTATTTGAGTGGGATCTTGAAGATTAGGAAGGAATCAGTAAATGGAGATGAAGAAAAATCAATGCTTCAGACTAAACAAAATGTTGGATCTAGTATTGGGTTTCTGAAGAATTATTTTGGCAAATATATTCATCTTCCATGAATATTTTTGGTAATTCTACTCTGTGAATCATGGATTACAATCAGATGGACAACTTTTAGAAGAGATGTAACACTTATTTTGTTCATCCAGTGTATTTCATATCACTCCATTAGAAGGAAGATGTGTTCTGCTTTAACTACAAAATCATCTGCCAGAGAGTATTTTAAGAATGGAGAGGGAATGAACACTATTATTGATATTAAGCTGTTTGAACAGATGCTTAGAACAAATGAAGCTTCAAAAAATGATTCACCCAAGGAACACTGAATGTTTCTTAAACTAGTATCACAATTTAATTGGTTAAAATTTAAGCTTAATCAACTAAATTGAAGATTAAGTTTCAGATTCTTTCAGCTATATTAAAATACATTTCTAATTAAATCTGTTTCCTTGACAATTCTAATCTTTCTCAGTGTAGGTTGCATTTTATCTATTACATGAGGGCCATAGGTGAAGATACTATTGGGGTTGAAATGCAACCCTTGCATAGCTACTAAGATTTCTTTCCTAATTCCTTTTTAGACTCATCACTTAGCTTCTAGAACAGTATGGTCACAAATTAGGAACTTAGTAAATACTTCTTGCATACATAGAGTACTCAAAATTCCAAGCAAGATGAAATTTCCCTCTAATCATGACTTTTTGGCAGATTATTTTATGTGTTTCACATGATCTTAAAAAATTGACTATCCAATCTGTGGTTTTCTTGAAGTTAAATTTCATGTTTACATGGGTATTCCATTTGTTGTGTTTTTCTAAATTGTTATTGATGAGATGATGGATTTTTATGTTTGTTCTTCTGGTTCCATTTATATATTAAAATATTTAAATTTTAATTTCAGGTATATTATATTTTTTTGCCCATATGACCTAGTTTCCCAGGCCTATTCTTTCCTACCTGTCCAACTGTTGGCTGCAGGAATGAAGGAAGTGACCAGAACTTGGAAAATAGTAGGTGGAGTCACACATGCTAATAGCTATTACAAAAATGGCTGGATAGTCATGATAGCTGTTGGATGGGCCCGAGGTAATATTAACAATATGTGTTCATAAATATTCTGTAATTGGTGTACTGCAGCTATCAAACAATTCTCTGTCTACATTAATGAGGAATATACAATTTAGTGTAATAGTCTTTTTGGAAGAAGAAGCCTTATTTCTGTTGGCTAGTAAAGTTATTCAAGAACTACTACTTTTTATCAGTACTAGTCATCAACTATTATTTTGAGCCTATTTTATAATCAAAGTTTTTATAAATGGTTTGATAGCAGCCCCAAAACCAAAGGGTTCAAGTTAAGGTGTTAGGTGTCACCATAAATAAAACAGGGCCTCCCTGGTGGCGCAAGGGGTTAAGCACTGCACTGTGAAGCAATCTGTTCCCAGCTGGCCAGGGAGCAACCCACATGTTGCAGCAGACCTCTCCTGACTCATCCCCCTGCTCCCCTCAGCATTGTACTTTGGTCCATCTACCTGTTCTTTTTCCCACTCTGTCTCTGGTGAATCCTCTCACTCCCCACATCTCTGGCCTGTATCCCAGCTCTTGTATGCATAAATAAATAAATCTTAAAAAAAAAAAAAAACAAGTTTACATAAGGAAATTTGTGTGCATGTAAATAACAAGTTTACATTAAAATCTTGTGGTACACTTTTTTTAATTGTATTTTCATCCTGAATAACTGGAAATAATAAATATCATTGATAATAAGTTCATGTTCATTCTGCATCACTTAACCTTTCTTGTTGAGTTTGTTTATATGCAGTAATTGAACAAATTTTTCTAATCTCTTGTGATAGTGCACACAAAACTAATATCAGGCAAGGAAATGATAAAGCAGAGGATTGTATTTTTCATATCTGAAACAAACCGTTAGGCACAATTCTGTGCTTGAGGCCCCAGTTGTAATGTTGTTTATTGTACTATCAATATGTCATCAATAGTTACCATGCTATTGGGAGGGAAATAACACGGTTGTCTTAGTATCATAAAATGTATAGGCAACTTTTTTCTTCTTTCTAAAGAATGTATTTTGGGGCCCTTCTTGGAGATAGACTTATGAACAAAATATACTTGTTTCAGATATATTCTCTGGAAAATTTGGCTAAATATTCTTGTTTTATTGTTTTACTTGTAGGTGCAGGTGGTAGCATTATCACGAGTTTTGAGCGCTTGGTAAAAGGAGGTTGGAAACCGGAAGCTGATGAATGGCTAAAGATGTCCTAGTGAGTTGCTATTAATTATAATGAGACATGGCTTGGTTTTTTTGGGATCTTAACAAATTTCGTTCAAAGAGAATTTTGGGGACTCTGAATGTAGATGAAATGTAGCTGACCTAATAAATAGTAAGTATAACAGGGATAGGACCAGGAAAATTAGTCTTTAAAAAGTTTGCTCTTTTAAATGTAATTTAATAAATAAATATTGATACCCCCTCTTAGAAAATAAAAACTTCTAGATTGTGGTAGAATTGTTGGAAGAATGTGTATTAATAGAGAGAACCACATAGGAGCTGACTTCTGTGAGTGGAAAAGAATCAGTTGCAGGCTCTTGGCATGTTCATTGATGACAACCGTATCACCTCTATTTCAAATTATGTATGGTTCTGGTAGAATGATAAGCTCATGGAAACAAATGAATACATTATCAGAAAGGCCAGCTATTTGCTTTAAAAATCAGAGCTGAACTTTGTTGCATATAAAATAAGAAAAAGATCAGGGGAAATAACCCATTCTCTTCTTGCCCAATTCAAAGTACCTGTTGTATCCATTTGAAGAATTTAAATGCAACCTAATCTTTGTAACCACTTTCGTTGACTTTACTGAATTTAGCCTTTCTCCAATGTTCTTTCCCCGCATATTGTTTACAAAATCCTTACTCCTCAGTTTGATGCATCTAAATTTATGTTCTAAGAGAATGCAACCCCAAAATGGATGCTCATAGTGAGGTAATGTGGTCCAGAAACCAAGCTCTCAGAAACAAACAGCAAACATTAAGATAAACCTAATTTCTATTTGTTTTTTTAATCTCATCCTTTTATGGTATCACTTTGGTATACATTTTATATTACATTTTTACATGTATATAATGTATAAATTAATTGATAAAATACATTAGGGAGTTTACAAATGGGGATATGCAATCAAAAAGTTTAGAGACTCCTATGCCAAAACATGAATGCTGCCCAATCATGTTGCTAAGCAAGGCCTAAATCCTCATTGCCCCAACTTCCTTCTATTTTGTACTTAGTCCTCAACTTGCACTAATTAAATAACTTATTTTGCATAAAGCCCTTAGAGGGCCTTTTAAATTTATCATTTTGCATTTTAGCTTCCTAAAAGTTTATCATTTATCTTTTTATAGTTGTTAGCATAGCAAGCTTAGATAATGATCTGTTACTGGTAGCGTTAGCTAAGTAATATGCTAGAACTTGGTCCTAGCTGTTTTATGAGGGTAACTGCGTGTATCTCTTCTCCACCTCATGTAGGAGCTTGAAATGTCATGATGGGAATACATTAGACCCTTGAACAATGTACAAGTTAGGGGTGTTGACTGCTCCCTCCACCTAGTCAAAAATCAGAGTATAACTTTACTCCTGAGAAACTACTGATAACGTACTGTTGACCAGAAGTCTTACTGATAACATAAACAGTCATATAACAAATACTTTGTATGTTATTATGTAGTGTATTCTTACAGTAAAGTAAGCTAGAGGAAAGAAAATATTGTTAAGAAAATCTTAAGGAAAATACACTTACAGTACTGTGCTGTGTTTATTGAAATTAAGTGTACATCACCTATTTATAAGAAAATCCCTGTATAAGTGGACCTCTGCAGTTGAGACTGTGTTGTTCAAGGGTCAGTATATTTATACCATAAAAATGGGAAAATGCTACAAATCAGGGCTTGCTTTTCTTTTCCCACCCCATTCACTTATGCTGTGAAGAAAGGTATTTACTTCTATATATTTGGCATTTCTAAAACTTTATAGAACTCATTTTGTCTATTTGTAATTTAATAACAATATTTTGTAGAATACTCTTTGGGAAATATATATAGAAATTATGTGTATTACTGACTTAAAATATGTTTTATTTTTAGCCCTGCCAAGATAACCTTGCTTGGGTCAATTATCTTCACATTCCAGCAGACCAAACATCTGTCAGTAGCAAGGCATAACCTTATGTTCTTTTATACCGTGTTTCTTGTAGCCACAAAGGTAAGAGTTCAAAGTAGCTATAACTCGATAATACAAACTCATATAACCAGCATTCTGCATACTAGGCAAGTTAACAGGAACATTTATATTTTACTGTTATTACAGTCTAAAGAGATGAATTTTGGGGAGTTTACTCAGTGTAGCTTTGACTTTCTAAAACATCACTCTTCTACGATTCCTCATTTGATCTATATTGAGGCCTTCAGGAAAGATTTACAGATAGCCTAATATATTGGAGGGCAGAGAGTAATGGAGATAACCAAGGTATATCAGAGACTACGAAGACAGCATTGTTTCATTTGTAAAATGAGGTACATGGAGTAAATGTTCTGTGATGTTCCTTTAAGCTTTGAAATTTAAAATTTTTATATTAGGAAATATTTGTGGTCATTCTCTTCTGTTATTATTGACTGATTACAAGTTTGATTCCTTCTTTAAGATAAGAGAGAGAGGTGTGGTATGTCACAGGTTTTAGAAATAGACAGCTTTAAGTTTAAATCCTAGCTTTGCTGTCTAATTATTGAATAGTCAGGTCACTTGCTGTCTGAATCCTGTGTCATTGTCATTGTAATTGGAGATGATGCATGCTGTTCTATCACTATGTCTTGACACATTGGTTTTATTTGCAACTGTATCCTGAGACTAATTCTGGTCGTTATTCTTTTTATTAGATATTGTTCCTTATTTACAAGTAAAACAATAGGTTCAAAAATAAGATTATTATATAAGTGTAGAGAAATTTTACAGCTAACTCTATCCCAACCTAGATACTTGTGATTAAAAACTTAACTATGAGATTCTTAAAAGGAAAACAGCACATATTATATAAATTTAGATCATAGAAAGGACCAAGTCACTATTGGGATCATTTATTTCTGCTTCAGTAGTCTCTGCAATAGGGGTCATCTGTGGCTATAATTCAAGTACTTCAAATATTCAAGGCAAAGTCTGAGTCTTTTCACCTATGTCTTCCTCTACTAACCCTAACAGATTATGAGCTATATATATATATATATATATATATATATATAAATAATATATATTATATATATTATCTATATATAGATATGTAGGTAATATATATTTATATTTTGAGCTATATATATAGGTAATAACATTATAGAGATGTATTTTTATACAACATACAATTGATACATTACACATACAATTTAATATTTTTAATATATTTACAATGTTATGTGACTGTCATCACAATGCTAGAACATTTTCTGATGTTCCTCATATCCATCAATGGTCACTTTATATTCTTCTAAATCACCCCAGCTATAGTCAACTGCCGATCTATTTTCTGTTGCTATAAATTTGCCTGTTTTGACAATAGGAGAATGCCTTCTCCTATTTTGTGTGTTGTCATTTCACTTTCTTGATAGTGTCTTTGGGAGCATAAAATTTTCAACTTTTGATAAAGTCCAATTTACTTGTTTTATCCTTTATTGTAAATGCTTTTGGTGTCATTTCTAAGAAACCATTGCCAAATCAAGGTAAAAAAGATTAACCTCTGTTTTCTTTGAAGAGTTATAGTTCTAACTCTTACTTAGCTCTATGATCTATTAATAATTTGAGTTAATTTTTATATGTGGTATGAGGAAGGGTCTAACTTTATTCTTGTGTATGTGGATATCTAGTTGTTCCACTATTTTTTATTGAAAAGGCTATTCTTTCCCTCACTATGAATTCAGTTGGCATCTTTTCCATAAAAGTTACTGTAAATGTAAGGGCTTATTTCTAGATTCACACTTATTCTATTCATCTTATACCTACCTTTATGTTAGTATCAGAGTGTTAATTACTATAGCTTTGTAGTTTATTTTGATATCGAGAGAAATGTGAGTCCTCCAAGTTTGTTCTTCTTTTTTAGGATTATTTGATCATTCTGGGTTATTGAATGCCCATTTTGAATTTTAGCTTTAATTTGACAATTCCTGCAAAAAGGCCAGCTTGCACTTTCATAGGAATTGCCTTGTATCTACCAATCAGGGTGGTATTGTATCTTAGCAATGTTAATTCTTCCAATCTGTCAATACAGATGTCTTTAGAATTTAAAAGAAATTCATTTTTAGGTTGTACATTGCACATGTGTTCTATAATCTATTTCCAATTGTTTTATGATTGTCATGAGGTGTTTCGGGTTTTTTTTCATATGAATATGGAATTTCTACATTATGTGTTGAAAAGGCTGTTCTTTCCTTCATTGATTTACCTTGACACTGTTGCTGAAAATTGATTACCCTTACATATATGGGTCTATTTCTGGTCTATATTCTGTTTCATTGATTTATATGTGTATGTTTAGCCAACTCCAAGCTATATGATAACTGTATACAGTTATAACTATATAACAGTAAGTCTTGAAATGAAAGTAATAAGTTCTTCAGTTTTGTTCTTTATCAAGATTTCTTTGGCTTTCATATAAATATTAGGATTAGGGTATCACTTTCTACCAAAAAATGACTTTTGGGGCTGTGATTGAGACTGTATTGTATTTGTAAATCTGTTTGGGAGAAAAAATATTTTAAAAATACTGAACCTACCAATCTATGAAATATGATATCTCTTTCCATTTACTTAGGTCTTAAATTTTTCAGAGTAACATTTTATGATTGTCCTTATTTTACCTATATTTTGTTAAATTTATTATTTTTTTAAAGATTTATTTTATTTATGCCTATAAGAGGCATGTAGACCAGAGGTGTGTGTGTAGGGGGTGAGAGGGTTCACCAGAGATAAGAGTGGGGAGCAGAACAGGCAGATCTACTGAAACACACTGCTGAGGGGAACAGCTGACTAGACAGGAGAGGTCTGCTGTGCCATGTGGGTCAGCTCCCTGGAACTGGGTCAACTGTGCCATGTGGGTCAACTCCCATAGAACTCATGCTTCAGTGGCTGGCGATAGTTTGATAGTGCTCAGACTTAACCTCTCTCACCACCAAGGAGGCCCCTTAAATTTAAATTTGTTCTGACCTATTCATGGTTTTGGATATTTTATAAAGAATAATTTAAAAAATTAAAATTTGGTTTTTACATTTTATATAGCTTTATGTTTGTTTTTGTGTATTATTCTTATGTTCTGTATTACTAAATTTATCTATTGGTTCTGTAATTTTTGTGTAGATTTTTTAGCTTTGTCTCCATACATGACCTTATTGTCTATAATAAAAAGTTTTGTTTTTTTACTTTTTAATCTGGATATTGTATATTTTTTTCCTTGCCTTATTATTCTGAGTATAACCTCCAGTAAAATAGTTAATAGAAATGCTAAGAGTGAATGTCTTTGTCTTGTTCCTGACCTTAGTGGAAAAAGATTTACCCTTTTACTGTTAAGTATAATGTTAGTAATAAGTGTCTTATAGATGCTGTTTATTAGGTTGAGGACATTCCTTTCTATTCTATAAGTACTTTATCTGCGTTGGTTGAGATGATCATGTATTTTTTGTCGCATATTCTGTTACTATGGTAGAGTACATGGAATGATTTTTAAAAAATATTGTATTACCTTTTTATTTCTTTGGTAAGATCCACTTAGTCATATGTATCCTTTTTGTATACTGCTGGATTCAGTTTGCTAATATTTTTCAAGGTTTTTTCCCCAATGTGTTCATGAAGGGGTCTAGTTTCTTTGAAATGAGTTGTTTGCAAGTCCTTTGTCTGATTTTTTTAAAAAAGATTTATTTTATTTATACAAGAACTGGAGTACAGGCCAGATGTGCGGGAGGGTGAGAGGATTCACCAGAGACAGAGCGGGGAACAGAACAGGCAGAATGACCGAAATACACTGCTGAGGGGAGCAGCGGGCGAGACAGGAGATGTCTGCTGTGCCACGTGGGTTGCTCCGTGGCCAGCTGGGATCAAACCTGCGCTGCAGAGGCTGCGGACAGCTTCACAGTGCTGCGCTCAACCGCTTGCACCACCAGGGAGGCCCTTTTATGCTGACTTTTGTATCAGCATAACATTGAGCTCATTAAATAAATTGAGAAATGTCCAATTTTCTACTTTCTGCAAGAGTTTATGTAGGTTTTATGTTATTTCTTAGTTAATTGTTTGATGTAGGACTATTCAGGTTTTCTTTTGTAGTGTGTTCATTTTGGTAAGTTGTATTTTTCAAGGAATTTGCCATTTCACTTGTTTTCAGTTTTGTTGACATTTAATTGTTCATAATAGTTCTTTGTTACCCTTTTAATGTCTGTAGAATTTGTTGTAGTGTCTCCCTCCATTTTAATTCTTCATGTCATTTATGTATTTTCTATCTTTTAAAATCAGTCTAACTAGTTAGATTCATCAGCTTCATTGATTTGTTTAAAAGACCCATCCATTGGTTTGATTTTTTTCCTGTTTTTTTAATTTCACTAATTTTAGGTTTGTATTATGTCTTTCCTTGCACTTACTGATTTATTTATAAAGAAAAGATTGATAAATTTGACTCCATAACTTTTTTTAAGTTGCATGGCAAAACCACCATGGACAAAGTGAAAATACAACTGTCCAGCTATAATAAAATACTTGTAATATATCACAGATGACTTGTCATCCTAGTATATATAAGTCTTTTAAATATTAAGAGATAAAGCATCAGCCTGATGAAAAGGTTAAAAGAAAGCAAATTTTATTTACAGATGTTCTCTAGATAATGCATCTTTTCAAAATTTTCTCATCTGTTTTTGCTAACAATAGCAACTTATGCAACTCCATAAAAGAACTTGTTGGCATTTTTATTGCGATAGTAGTGACAAACAGGAATAAGAACAGCCTTGAGATTCTCTAATATTTAGGAAAGGGAGGTTTAGAATCAGAAAGTGATTGATGAACTAAGAGGATAAGCAGGAGATGATTTTAATAAGGATGGACTGGTCAGTTCTGCTGAATGCTGTGGAGAGGTGTAATTCAGATAGTATATTATGGAATACATGAATGAAGAACATGAATATATGAATGAAGTGTTAGTAGGCCCTTTGTGGGATGCAAATAGACTTACAAACTTTGAA